GTCCTGTTAGAGGGTCATCTTGATGTGGGATGTCAGAGCCTGAGCAGCAAGAGGAGGGTTTCTGTGCAGGGAGGATGGTTGTGACTGACATTGGAAATTAGTTACATATGGAAGGATTGATCATGTAATTAACCGTACCAAAGATCATAGGAGCCAGCTTGGCCACTGTTCAAGGGAGTTGTCAGTACAGAAATGTCAGGAACTAGGATGCACCGTGCGGTGGTGGATTGGGGCAGGTGTGTGGGTGTGAACTCATGGTTTTCAGTATGTATGGATATAAATATGTGTATTTATGTGTGTGTGTATATGGATATACATGTATATAATCTACTGAGCGAGCTTCTTGGGCAGATAACACTGCAAGAGCAATAAGCACACCTCATACCCACATCTTGGCTTCTAAATACCATTTCCCACTAACATGTGGAAACCAGGGCTCCTTGGAGACATGGCTAGTTCCAGGCCTGGGGCAGAAAAAGTCCAAGATGAATGAGGAACATCTTGTTCCAGAAAGCAAGGAAATGCATTCCGAGGACTCAGTGACCGAATCAGTTCTGCCCACGAGGGAGGATCACACAGGGCAGATGATGTTTGAAGTGACCTGGGAACCTTGAAGGATGGGTAGGATTTTGCCAGGCAGCATGTTGAGAAAGGGAGAAGTTACTTAGGGGCAGCGGCAGCCTGATGAGCAAATTACACCTGCCACAGAGCAGCATAAGGCACGGCCTAGATGTGGCTAGAGGCAAAGATGGAGCTGGACACTGATTGTCCTGTGTGAGCCACGTGCAGAAACGTAGCCTTGACTTGCTAGAGTTTGTTGTCTAGAGCTGTATAACCCGTTATTCCCAGCATCAGTGGCTGCAGACATCATGCATTATCCCCCATTTTCTGCAGCTGAGAGTCTGGGAGCTGCTTGGTTCGTGGTTCTGACTCAGGGTCTTCAGCAGGCTGCAGTCAGGGTGTGGGCCGGGGCTGTGGCCATCTTCCAGGAAGGGCATCTGAGCTCATGCACGTGACCGCCAGCAGGCCTTGGGGCCTTTCTGGCTGTCCGCAGAGACCTCAGCTCCTCTCCATGTGGATGTCTCCTTAGGGAGTCTCAGCGTGGCAGCTGGCTTCCCTGACAGCAAGGGGTCTGAGGGAGAGAGTGTACCAGAGAGCCTCCCACCCGGAAGGCACAGCCTACTTAAAACCTAATCTCAGAAGTAACATCCCATCATGTACTCTGTATTGTGTTCATTTGAAGCAAGTCACTAAAGTTAGCCTTTGCGTAGGGGGCATGAAGCACACAAGGGCACTGTCACTAAGGGGCAGGATCGATGGGGTTCCGGAGCCTAGGGCGGGGGGCGGGGAGGGATGCAGGCAAGCCTGGGGCAGTGAGACCATTTAGGAGGTGGCCATCCAAGTGGGGAAGAAGAGGCCTTGTCATCAATAGCCGGGAGCAGTTGGAGTGAGAGGAGAGAGGGCTTAGGGCACCCGGCGATGCCTCCCAAGTTACGGGTGTGCACCCGGCTGCAGCAGGCATCATCTTCAGAAGCCTGCGAGGAGACCTCTGCTGTTTGAAAAACCACCACTGCTTTCTTACTACTTGTTGTTAAACAGGTTGTTCATGGACTTCGGTGGGTGGAAACCAGATTCTGCAAAGAGGGCTTTGCAGGATCCCTTTGGCACCAGAAAACAAGTGAGAGCTGCTGGGCAGTTACCTCATTTTAAAGCACATGCTTGGGCTGTGGGAGCTCCGGCCTGTGATCCCTTCAGTTTTATCTCCCACGCGGTTCTCCGCCCAGGCTGTTATTTGGTAGTTAAATGACACATGAAGGTTGTTAGGTTTTGAGGGCAGGCTGAACTGTACCAGGCTCTACGGTTCGAGCAGATCCCTCTTGGAGGTCAACGCCGTGACCTTTACTGAGGACGTCTGAAGGATGGCTTCTCCTTCCTGACATCCCCCTCTGTTTGAAGTCTGACCTGAACACCAGTTACTTTAAAAAATAATATATCCACGGAGATTTTGGATTTTTTATTTCAGGCATGTCATCAGCAAGCCAATGATTACCTGTGCATTGGGGAAGTAGACATGGCTACAGAGTCATGTGACTGGGGAGGGGGAGGAGCACAGGCCATCACGTGTGAAGCACTCTATATCGAGAAAGTACTTCCTGTTCACTTCACTGCAGTCTTGTGCTAGCATCATTATGTTCACAGTTAAAAACAAGCATAGACACCGTCCTTTAACCCTGAGTCATTCCTGAGAATGCAGCTGTCTGGGGGAGTGGTTAAGTCGTGCTTCTGGAAGGTGTGAGCTGGGCCTCTGCTGAAGGGCTTGCTGCCACCACCCTGGGGCACGCCCTGCCCAGAGCCTGCAGAGCTGTACTGTGTTATGCTGCTGACACCAGGTGTTGAAAGTTAAAAATGTAATATATTCCACCTTTTTAAAACGGTTATTCTTGTTGCTTAATATTTGTACTTAAGGCTGACCTTGAATCGTGAGTAAAAACATGATGCTCTTAGAAAATTTGTATTCAGTAATATTGTTTGGGGAACAGTCTCACAGTTACATAAAATGATGGGGCAATTTAAAGGACTAATGTGTACTAAACTTGGGAAAGACCATCTTTTAGTTATCTTGAGATGTTTTCTATATCATCTTTACTTTTATGTATTTTGTTTTCCTTTTTGTGTAACTTGGACACTTGAACCATTTTAATTTTCTTTTTTTTATTTATTTTTGAGAGAGAGATAGAGACAGCATGAGCAGGGGAGGATCAGAGAGAGAGGGAGGCACAGAATCTGAAACAGGCTCCAGGCTCTGAGCCAGCTGTCAGCACAGAGCCCGATGTGGGGCTCGAACCCACGAACCGTGAGATCATGACCTGAGCCGAAGTCAGACGCTCAACCGACTGAGCCACCCAGGCGCCCCGAACCATTTTAATTTTTTTAAAGATGTAGGCTACAATACATGTGAAATCCTTAATATTTGGAAAATTTGCTTTTCTGGTTAATTGAACTTTCCATATAGCTGAAGGTTAAGCAAAAATCTTTTCTACAAAATCTTATGAATCAGTGTTTTTATAGTTTACAAAGCATAATGAAGCCTTTTTAACCAAAAAGTTAGCAATTCTACTGTAGCATTAGCATAAAACTGAAGGACCTTACAGTAGGCAAGATACGGAAACAACCTAAGTGTCTGTCAACAGATGAATAAAGTGTGTGTATAATATTCCATTACATAGGGAATTATAGGTATAACAATGGAATTTTATGTGTATGCTATCATTATGTGTATCATATTTGTATCATGTATATATTATCCAACCACAAACAAAAAAGAAGAAATCCTGCCGTTTGCAGCAACATGGATGAACCTGGGAGATGTTATGCTGAGTGAAGTAAGCCAGACCCAGGAGGGGAAATACACTGTCACTTATATGTGGGCTCTAAAAGTGTTAAACTCACAGAAGCAGAGAGTAGAAAGCGGCTGCCAGGGTCTGGGGGGAGAGGGGAATGGGAGCTGGTGGTCAGAGGGCACGAAGTTCCAGCTGTGATCCGAATACGCTCTAGGGAGCTAATGTGCAGCCTGGTGACTATCGTTATCATGTGCCGTATTCTTAGATTTTGCTAAGAAAAGAGATTGTGTTTTCACCACCGCACACACACACGGTAAGTCTGAGGTGACGGACGTGGTAATTAGCTTGGTCGTAGTAGTCATTTCATGATGTGTTCATGTATCAGACATCACGTTGTACACCCTAAGTATACACACTTTTGATCACTGGTTTCCTTGAAGATTAATCACTAGAATCACTAGAGAGCTTTCAGAAATGTTGTATTTTATTACGAATACAAACTCTCTGGGGAAGGGGCCCAGGAACGGATATGTTGAAACTTCCCCTGTGATTTGGGAGCTCAGCCAAGTCCGCTCTGCAGGCCCCCTGTCCGTCCTCTGAGGGCAGGCCCAGCCCTGGGCTCCTGGCAGCCCCACCTTCCTGCCTGGGGCCCAGGTCCCGCCCATCTCCGCTGGGAATGTGTCCCCTCCCCCCAGCTCCTGTCACTCTCACTATGACCTTTGCCCTCCCTTCAGGGTCAGGTCAGTGTCCAAGTCCCAAGCAGAATTCCTCTGTCCCTTTCTGTTCTTCACAACCCCCAGCACCAGCACTTTCACTTGGTCACTCAACACATCGTATCCCGATAGTGTGTTTTATGTATATCTTTTTAAAGATTTTTTTTTTTGATTTAAGAGTTTTTTTATTGAGGTGAAATTCACATAACATAAAATTCACTGTTTTTAAAGTGAAGAATTCAGAGACATTCAGCACTTCCGTAACAATGGAAGACCACCTCCATGTAGTTCCAGAGCACTCTCCTCAATCTGGAAACTCTCCGTGCGCCCAGCAGTCCCTTCCGCCCTCAGCCCCTGGCAGCCACCACCTCCCCTTTCCTTGTCTGTGCATTTACCCATCCTGGTGTTTCCTATCCTGGGACCAAACAGCATGTGACTGCGGGTCCGGCTTTATCACCTTGTATCGTAGATCACGTTGTCCTTTGAGTTGTGCGCCAGCAGTTTGCTGGGGCGGCTGTAACAACGTTCCACGGGCTGGGGGCTTAACCGGCAGAGAGCATGGGGGCTGCAAGCCCAGATCAGGCTTGGTCTCTCCTGAGGGCTGCCCCCCGGGCGGGCACACGGCCGCCTTCTCCCTGCGCCCTCACATGGCCTCTCCTCCGTGCTCCAGGGTCCCTGGCGTCTGTGTGTCCGGTTTTCCCCTTTTTATAAGGACACCAGTCACACTGGATTAGGCCTCACCCTGAAGACCTCATTTTAACTTACTGACTTGTTTAAAGACCTTGTCTCCAAACACAGGCATGTTCTCAGGTGCGGCTTAGGGTTTTACCATTTAATTTGGCCCTGGGCTTGGAGGGGCGGGGCATAGATTCAGCTCCGGCAGTAGATCTTGCTCCCTCTTTCCACTGTGAGAGGTCTCTGAGCGCATGCCCCGCCTTTCTTCTAGACTTTGAGCTTGAGGGCATAGCTCACGTCTGTGTCCTCACGGCGGTGTCAGCTAGCCCAGCTAGCCCTGGGTGGCCTTTGAGCGCCCCTGTCCAGACCCCAGTGCCGCAAGCAGCCACTTCTCGGCCGTGTCCTCTGCGTTCCCAGTCTGCAGTAAGTACCCAACACTGGTGTCTCCAGTGGACTCCGGATCCCTGCGGCCCCTGTTCAGAGGAGGCAGCATCAAACTATGTGTCTGCGTGGAAACTGTTGTCCTTTCTTTCTTTCTGATCAAAACAGACAAAAGAGATTGGCTAATTGAGAATTCCCAGGACCATGCAAATGTACTCATTCCTTTTCTCCGCACGTTATGGGGAACAAGTTAAAATGTAGCCTGTCCTTCAGGAACTTAGTAAGAGTGAAAATAACTGCAATGTGGGGCGGAATGTGATTGGTGCACTAAGATGTGATCTGAGAAGGCTTTGGGACAGAGGCAGAGTCTGGGCTGAGATTTTAGGGATGGGCTGGATTTGGGCGGGAAGGTGTAAATGTGGTCCCGGTAGCAGTAAAAGATTAGGATTTGGGGGGGAGCCGAGCTGGGGAGGGTTCCGGGAGCAGCAACAGCACAGGAGGCCGGGACCCAGGGTGTCTGGACCCCGGATCCCGTAAGGACGCAGCCTGCAGGCCCTGAGCTTGGCCACAGGAAGCTCGGTGCGGCTCAGGGGTGAAGGTGGGGGCTGGGGTTCCTGGGAGGAGATTGCCGATCCGACTGGAGCTGTCTGCAGGTGGACAAGGGCAGAGGCCCCAGAAGAGAGGGCGGCAGGGGGCTGCTTTGGGGGGACAGACTTGGGACCGATGCTGGTCAGGCAGAGAGTTGGGAGGAGATCTGCCTTGGAGAGGAAAGCAGGGCATCGCTGGGGCACGTCTGGGAAGCTGCAGGGCCTGCCTGGCCCCGTGGGGGCAGTGGGGGCTGAGGGCACTGAGCTCATCATGCGGAGGCAGGAGGGGAGGGTGGTCTCACACCCACACTGCCCACAGACTTAGACAGCAGGAGTCCCTTCCTCAAGGCTCCGGGCCCAAAGTCCATGATCCAGGCGCGGCCGGATCCTCCAAGGCATCTGTCCTTGGCTTGTGACTCATTAGTGATACGCAGTCAAGTTTGCTCTCATTTGCTGCTGGACTGGCTGTGCAGTGAGGAGATGGTTAAAAAGAGAATTTCCTGTTTATTTGACCCAAAAAAGCCAGATAATATATTAATGTGAAAGAAATCCTGTTTACGCCTTGATTTGTTTGCTGAGAATGTGTAGTAGTAAAAATGAAGTAACTGGGGAAAAAGAAGAAACCCTACTTCCCCCTGTGCCCTCACTTGCCTCCTCTGTGCCTGTATGCGTCGGTGTCCAATCTTTTCTTACGAGGACACCAGTAGTTGTTAGGTTAGGGCCCCCCTAACGACCTCATTTTAATTTAATCACCTCTTGGGGCGCCTGGGTGGCTCCGTCGCTTACGCATCTGACTTCGGTTCACGTAATGCTCTCACAGTTCCTGAGTTCCATGCTGAAGGCTCAGAGGCTGGAGCTCTTCAGATCCTGTGTCTCCCTCTTTGCCCCTCCCCCACTTGCTCACACACGTGCATGCTCGCTCTCTCTCAAAAATAAATAGACATTAAAAGTTTTTAAAATTTAATAACTTCTTTAAAGGGCCTGTCTCCAAATACAGTCACATCCTGAGGCCTAGAGGCTAGGACTTCAACATATGAATTGGGGGGGAGGGGGCATAGTTCAGGCTGTAATAGCACATATGATTTATCCAAGTAAGGTTATTATGTAAACTATGCAAGAGGAATAACCATTTCCTTTTGCTTTATTTTTCGATGTGTCATTGGGCCAGGGCGGGGAACAGGAGCACTTTTTTCCAGGCAGTTAAGAGCTTGAACTCCAGGGTCAGACCAGCTGGCTCCAGATCCCAGCTCTGCTCCTTATTAGCTGTTCGACTTTGTTCAAGTCAACAGTTTTTACTTACACCCTCTGTCTCCGTTTCTTCATAGGTAAAATGAAAATAAAGGTGCCTACTTCACAGGTTTCTGTGAGGATCAAATCAGTTTAGATATGTAAAGTGCTTAAAAGTATACCTGGATCTTCGTAAGTGCTGTGTTGAAGTGCTGGCCGTGATTATTCTTCGCACCAGGTTTGGAGAGGATGGAGACTATGCAAGGAAATGTTGCTTTTCTTGCAAAACCAAAGTGTATGTGTGAGACTGGAAATCAGGAGGTCACCCTCCCCTGAACTTAGCTGAATGGAACACCTAGAGTATTTGCTGTCAAGTGTGTGCAGCTGGAGTAGCACACAGGTGGTGGGCAAGGCTTGTCATTTTATGGGAGAATAAAATTTCACAGCGCCTCCGTGTGCACTCGGCAGAGCCAGTGAGGTGGGCACGATGCGAGTCCCTCCGTGTGAGGCTAAGTGACGTCCCCCAAGGGCTGCCCCGAAACCAGTCCTTTTGAGTCCCGCCATGTCACACAGCCTGGAAGAGGACCCCAGGCAGCAAGCCCGTTTCCAGTGTTTTCTCAGAGCAGGGAGACTATGGAGAGGGATCTTTTGAGCAGAATTAATATTTTTCTATTTGTTTCATTTAAGATAACGCTGCTGTAGTTTGAATGTTTGTGTGCCCCCCAGATTCAATGGTTGAAATCCAAACCTCCAATGTGAAGGCATTTGGATGTAGTGCCTTTAGGAGGTGATTAGGTCGTGAGGATGGAGCCCCTCTGGTGGGATTAGTGCCCTTACAAAGAGACCCCAGAGAACTCCCTTGGCCTTCAACAGACACCGAATCTGCCAGTGCCTTGATCTTGGACTTCTTAGCCTCCAGAACTGTGAGACTCAAGTGCGTGTTGTTTAGAAGTCGCTCAGTCCGTGGTATTTCTGTTACAGCGACCCAGACTGCCTCGCTGGTTGGGTGCACACATGCGTGATGCTCCGTGCTGGGTGTTTCCCTGTGTTTTCTGGGGGGATGCCCACCCAGCCTCCGTGAAGTGCCGCCGTGTGATTGGACAGAGGAGGCGACTGAGGCCCAGAGGTTTGGTCTTTTGCCAGTGTCACTGGCCAGGCTTGTCCGGTCCTGAAGCCAGTACCCCCACCGGGCAGCACCTCTGCCCGTCTCGGGTCTGGGGTGGAAGTGAGAAGAGCACCCCTGGGCGGCAGCATAGCTGAGTTCTAGGTAAGGAGATATTAATTGCACAGATTTGCTTTTGTTTTGAAGCTGGCAAAAGGGGACGCACTTGGAGAATGCTTGGCTTTTCAAAATCCCACTTTGAAATAGGCCTCATGTCTCAGAAGGGCCCTCACTGCGAACACAAGCTCTAACATGGGTCAGAAATGGGAGTCATGGAGCAAGAGGTGGGGCCTACCTCTCAGTAACAAACAGGAATAAGCGACTCTCCTGGGCAGTTGGTAACTAATACGGAAATTTTGCTTATACGGGAAAATGAGAACTAAGAGGAAATATAAAACAGAGTTCAGGGAGGTTTAGATAATTAATGGTGAGCTCAGAGGTTTAGATAATTAATGGCGAGCTCAAGGAGGTTTAGATAATTAGAGGCAAGTTAATAAGAAATGTAAGTTGAAATACTGAAACAGAGTTTAAATCTTCCAGGAGTTTGAATGTTTAGGAGACAGGTGAGTGCCGCCAAGAGCTTACCTATGGGTGCAGAGTCGAAAGGGAGAGAAGAGGTGTTTTGTGGGACTGCGTTGATGAGACGGTGCGTGAGTGTTGGGTGCTCTGGGTGTATGTGTGTGTGTGAAATGATCCCCCACAGTCACCAGCCTGAAGAAGGGGGGTTACAGCAGCGTGGGCCGTCAGAGACATTCTGGACAGCACAGATTTCCCCCACACATACATCAGTCATGTTGGGGCACGTGTCCCAGTTCCTTAGAGAAGCCCTGCATTGTATTTTAGGGCACTGTGTTCCAGGAGCAGCGTGGGCGCGCGCGCGCACACACACACGCGCACGCACACACGCACACACACACACACACACACACACACACACCTCGGACCAGAGTCTAGGAATAAACACAGATTACGTGAAGAAATGGAAAACTCCATAACAAAAAACCCGCAAGTCAAAGGCATCCAGTTAAGTCAGGTGATGATGACAGAGATCTAGGTCCTTAACTGGGAGGCTCACTAGGTGAAAATACTAGAAACAGGCATTTGTCAAACAGGCATTAGGTGCCTGAGGCCAAACCTGGTGCTCCATGTCCTTATTCAATCTCCTCAAGGGCCTGGCTGAGGAAGGGCTTTGTCATCCAGCCAGCAAATGGGTAATCCTGGTATGGCTGGAACTTGAACCCAGGGTAATGCCATCTTGTTTCTGGATATAGACTTGAGTTAAGCTCCCTGGGGAAAAGCTAAGAAAAGAGAATATAAAGAGACTTGTCAGCCATCTTCATTAAAATTGGAGCAGAAAAGAATGGATAGATCAGATCAGTTTGGAAAGAGAAGGCCTCAAATTTATGCACTCCTAACATATTGCAAACAAGCAAGGACAGGGGGTGCCTGGCCGGCTCAATCATGGACCACGTGATTCTCGAACTCCGGGTTCTGAGTTGTAGAGAGGACTTAAAAATCAATAAATTTTTAAAAACAAAAGCAAGTACAGTCACAGTGGATAAAGGGACTTTGTACAAATACTGATGTTTGGCAGGCCTTTAAAAAACAAGTTGGTTGTTGTCTCACTGATTATATGAGATGAGATCCACCTATTTAATGTTTGACATTCAATAATTTTTTTTTAAGTTCAGTGAAGTTTTACAAATGTGTATACTCATGTACTCACCACTATAAGCAGACACAGAACATTCTGATCAACCTGAAATGTTGCCTCATGGTTCTGTGCAGTTTCCTCTGTTCTACTCCCAGCTCTGTTTTCCGCCCCCAGGATTGGTTTTTCCCAAAATGTCAGTGGACACTCCTCATATAGCATGTAGCCTTTTGCATCTGGCTTCTTTCACTCAGCATATGCGTTTGAGATTTATCCGTATTATTACACCTATATTGTTCAATTTATGCATTCTCAAGTAGATGGACATTTGGGTTATTTCCAGCTCTTGGTCTACTGTGCATAGAATTGAGGTAGACATTCATGTACAGGTCTTTATATAGGATATGGAATTATTCATCTTGGGTATATTCCCAAGAGTGAGATTGCTGGGTTGTATGATAAATATATGCTTAATTTTTTAAGATTGTTTTCCATAGTTGCTGCACTCTTTTCCGAAAGCAGCATATAGTTGCAGTTGCCCTACATCTTTGCCAACACTTGATTAGTAATCTTTTCAATTTTACCCATTCTATGATGGTATGTTATTATAGTTTTTATTTGCATTTCCATAATGATTAATGACATTCAGCATCTTTTCATGTGCTTATGAGATTCATATATCAGTAGAGTGTTTAAAACTTTTGCCCATTTTACATGGGTTGTTTTTCTTCCTGAGTTTTCAGAGTTCTCTGTATATTCTGAATATAAGTAATTTATCAGATATATCCAGGTCTACCTTGTTTTATTGCACATCACTTCACTGCACTTTGCAGATAATTGCTTTTTTTTTTTTTAATTGAAGGTTTGTGGCAACCTTGTGCCAAGCAAGTGGACTCGTGCTGTTTTTCCAACAGCATTTGCTCATGTCTCTGTCACATTTTGGTAATTGTTGCAGTATTTCAGTCTTTTAATATTAAACAGCTGAACCTTTAACAATGCAGGGGCTAGGGACGCCCACACCCCCACAAATAGCTGAAAGTATGCATGTAACTTGGACTCCCCAAAAACTTAACTACTAATAGCTACTGTTGACCAGAAGCTTTACTGATAACATTAACAGGTGATTAACACAGATTTTGTATATTATGTGTATTCTTGCAACAAAGTAAGCTAGAGAAAAAATGTTATTAAGAAAATCATAAGGAAGAGAAAAAGCATTTACAGTACTGTATTTATCAAAAATAATTCAATTATAAGTGGACCCATGCAGTTCAAACCCATGTTCAAGGGTGAACTGTATTTGTTATCTGTGATCAGTGATTACAACCTGCTGATAGCTCAGGCAGTTAGCAATTTTTTTTTTAGTAATAAAGTATTTTTAAATTAAAGTATGTACAGTTTTTTAGACATACTGCTATTGCACACTTAATACAAAGTATAGTGTAAACATAACTTTTATATGCACCGGAAAACCAGAAAATTCATTCGACTTGCCTGATTGCATTGTTTGCTATTTTGCAGTCGTCTGGAGCCAGACTTGCAGTATCTCCAGCGTCTGTCTGTGTGTGTTTTGATGATGTTTTCCCCAGTCTGAGTTTGCCTTTCCATTTACTCATCAGAGCCTTTTGAGAGCAGAAGTTTTTGATTCTGATGAAGTCTAACTTATCCATGTTCTCGGTTTATTATTTGTACTTTTTGTGTCCTATCAAAAGCTTTCCTTCTAGAATTTTAGCTTTACAGTTTGTATACATTTTGAGTTAAGTATATGGAATGAGATACGACTTGTAGTTCTTTTTAAATTTTTTAATACAGATATCCTGTTTGCCAGCACCATTTATTTTATTAAAAAATTTTTTAATGTTTATTTATTTTTGAGACACCATGACAGAGCAGTAGAGAAAGAGAGGGAGACACAGAATCTGAAGCAGGTTCCAGGCTCTGAGCTGTCAACACAGAGCCCGATGCAGGGCTTGAACCCATGAACTGTGAGATCATGACCTGAGCTGAAATCAGATGCTTAACCGACTGAGCCACCCAGGTGCCCCCAGCACCATTTATTTTAAAGGCTGTCCATTCTTGAATTACCTTGGTACCTTTATCTATTTCTAGACTCTCTATTCTGTTCCATTGATTTTTTTTTTAACGTTACTTTTATTGAGATACTATTCACATACCATAAAATTCATCATATCAAAGTGCATATAATTCAGTGGTTTTTAGTATATTCACAAGGTTGTGCAACTATCACTACTATCTAATTCTCTAACATTCCCATTACCATGAAAAGAATATTCCATTGATATTTTTTCCAGCTTTGTTGAGATATAATTGGTGTATAAGTTTAAAGCATACAGTGTGTTGATCTGATACATTTTTAAAATTTATTTTAATGTTTATTATTGAGAGAGAGAGAGCACACATGCGCACATGTGAGTAGGGGGAGGAACAGTGAGAGGGGGAGACAGAGGATTTGAAGCAGGCTCTGAGCTGACAGTAGAGAGCCCCATGCAGCGCTAGAACTTACAAACCATGAGATCAAGACCTGAGCTGAAGTTGGACAACTGAACCACCCAGGTGCCCCAATCTGATACATTTCTATATTGCAATATGATTACCACCATAGTGCCAGCTAACACCTCTATCATGTCACATGTTAATAATTTCTTTTTTTTTTTTTTTTTAAGTTTCATGTATTTATTTTTTTGTGTTTATTTTGAGAGAGAGCACACCTGAGTTGGGGGAGAGGCAGAGAAAGGAGAGCAGGAGACTCCCAAGCAGGCTGTGCACTGTCAGCACAGAGCTCGATGTGGGGCTCGAACTCACAAACTGCGAGATTATGACCTGAGCTGATTCAAGAGTCAGATGCTTAACTGACTGAGCCACCCAGGCGCCCCTAAGTTTTATTTAAGTAACCTCTAACCCATGAGGGGCTCAAACCCGTGACCCCGAGATCAAGAGTTGCATGCTGTACTGACTGAGCCAGCCAAGCGTCCCTAGCATTTATTTTTTGTGGTGACAGCGTCTAAGATCTACTCTCTTAACTGTCAAGTATATAATACAGTATTGTTAACTGTATTCACAGTCTGTGCACTAGATCCCAAGAACGTATTCATCTTCTAACTGGCAGTTCGTACCCTTTGATCAGCATCTCCCCATTTCCCCCAGCCCCAGCACCTGGTAATTACCATTGCGCTCTCTGTTTCTACAAGTTTGGCTTTCTTACAGTCCACATAGAAGTAATAACATAAGGTATTTGTCTTATTCTGTCTGACTTTCATTTAATAAATGCCCTCAAGGTTGATCCATGTGGTTGCATACCACAGGGTTTCCTTCTTCTTCGTGGATGAATAGTATTCTATATATTACACACACACACACACATACACACATACACACACACACACACACACACCCGCCCACCCACCCACTAATCTTTGTTATCCTTTCATCTGTTGACAGACATTTAGGTTGTTTCCGTATCTTGGCTGTTATAATTAGTGCGGTAAACATGGGAGTGCAGATATCTCTTTGGATTATAACTGTGAGTGGGATTACTAGATGATATGGTAGTTCTGTTTTTAATTCTTCCGTGACGTAACTATGATCTACAATACTGTTTTCCACAGCTGCTGAACCAATTTATATTCCCACAACAGTGCACAAGGTTTGCCTTTTCTCTAGTCCTTGTCAACCTTTGCTATGTTACCTCATCTTTTTGGTCATAGTCATTCTGACAGGTGTGAGGTGATTATCTCATTGTTTTTTTTCTAATGTTTATTTATTTTGAGAGAGCACTCATGCTGGGAAGGGGCAGAGAGAGAGAGGGGAGAAAAAGTCCCAAGCAGGCTCCATACTGTCAACGTAGAGCACAAGAGTCAGTCTCTTAACCCACTGAGCCACCCAGGTGCCCCTCTCATGGTGGTTTTTATTTGCATTTCTCTGATGTTGAGCACTTTTTATCTATCTATTCTCCATTTGTATGTCTTTAGGAACATGTCTATTCAGTTCCTCTGCCCGTTTTCAAATCACATTTTTTTGCTGTTGTCGTTAACGAGTTGTATGAGTTTTTTAAAAAATATATTCTTTGGATATTAACCCTTTATCAGATATATGGTTTGCAAGTGTTTTGTCCCATTCCATAGGTCGCCTTTTCATTGTTAATTTGTGTGTGTGTGGGGGGGGGTTGTGTATGTGGGGGGGGGGGTTGCTGTAGAGAAGCTTTTTAGTTTGATGTAGTCTCACCAATTTTTGTGTTTGTTGCTTGTGCTTTTGGTGTCATACCTAAAAAATTGTTGACAAAACGAATGTCAAAGAGCTTTTCCCCTGTATTTTCTTGTAGGTATTTAAGCTTCGGTCTTAATTTAAATCTCTAATCCATTTCAAGTTAATTTTCAAGTGGTGTAAGGAAGTATTCAGTTGTATTTTTCTGCATGTAGCTGTTCAGTTTTCCCAACACTATTGAAGAGACTGTCCTTTTCCCATTGTGTATTCCCGGCTCCATGTCCAATATTAGTTGACCGTATATGCTGGGGTTTATTTCTGGACTGTCAATTCTGTTCCACTGCCAATGTGTCTGTGTTTATGGCACTATCATATTGTTTTAATTGCCATAGCTTTGTGGTGCAGTTTTAAATCAGGAAGTGTGAT